TCTGTTACACGGAAAAGGCCCAATAATCGCAAAGCCCAATAAAGGGGGCTCACCGACAAAGGACCTCTTGGTTACACACTTGTCACACCCTCGATCAGGACCTGCTCCTCCGGCATCGCCAGAAGTCATTCGTAACCTGGAGCGGAGAACAGTGGACAGGGACCTCCTCCGAATGAAAGTAATCACGGACTGCTCGATTTGCACAGATGAGATGCAGCTGCGTCAATCAGTCACATTCCTTCGTTGTAAGCATTGGCTTCACGAGAGGTGCATTATATCATGGCGTGTCCGATTTGTCGCAACCCCATCGAACGGAACTAAGTGAACACCAGCGGGGAGCGCTGGTTTTGCTATGGCCTTACGTCAGCATGAATCAGACAGCTTGCTCGTTGTGGCATGCATCAGCTGCAACTTGAACATGTCACGACTTGTTGACATCCAGAAAAGTGGTTCATTCTGCAGCTGAGTCAGGGAAATCCTGGAACCCGCGGTTGCTGGCCATCTTGGATACATGATTTAGAAGCGGCTGGTGCTACGTTAGTTTCTTCGATGATTTCTCGAGGAATCTGTTGCCGAACTAGAGGCTGAATCATGATGCAAGATATGCTTGGAAATTGTTAATTTGACGCCAGACTACCTTCTCCTACTAGTCCCTATTCTCCAACTAACCGGGGCAGATCAAATAAGGGCAATATGACAGTCACTAGGGAGCTCGTGATCGTGCTAAAATTATTACATGGTAAAAAGCTCACCGGGAGGTGTGACGAACGATGGAGATGCCAACCTTGACACAACATACGGCTAGCCTACGCGCGAGTCTGCGCCTCAACACAATCCCATTAGTAGCTGCATGCCTATCGGAAGGCAAGAACCCCGGGATTGGGGGTGCCTCGCCTGAAGTTTACATCTGCATCGTTGCCCAAGGTTGATGTGGAATGGGAGTTGACGCCCAACGACTGCGGTTGATGCAACACTCCTCTACGTTGAAAGTGGATAAGTTTTCCATACTCTGTAGGGTTGATTGGATATACTAGAGGCCGCATGATTTGGAAGAACTTATGATGCAGCGGGAGACGGCAGCGTTGCTAGTGAAAAGTTCGTAGGACTAGTACCTACGGACAGGATTTATTTTCTCGGTCATTTTCCTTGTTTTAGGTGCATAAAAAGAACCAGGCCGGCAACAATACTCTTTGCGGCATCGGCGGCTTTCTTCGGGTCGGGAATCAGGATGAGATGACACCCTGCCCAATTCCGAAAGAGAGGGCTTTGAACGATGCAACTTCCAGAAGTTTCATTGCTAAAAAGAACGAGAAGTCGCCGCGGATGGTTTTCCTTGATATAAATTAAATTTTCATATGAATTAAAGGGGGAATCATTACTATAGGCTAATACTTTTGTACATGGTTTGGGACCTGAGTTCCGTCGTCTTTGTGTCCAAAAAAGGTCATGCATTGTGATTGGCCAGCAATCCATTCATGTAGAGGTGGACATTCCAGCACCAACATCGACGAGAATCTTAACCTGGTTTTCTTTATCGTTGATGAGGGCGTGAAAGCCTTCCTCGACAACCTGGTCAAGCTTGATGGTTTTGGTAATCATGCTGGCAGGCTTTATCTTGCCTGATAGAGACAAAAGTTAGTCTTCTGAGCAAAATACTGTCTGCGCATCATATTGAAAGCGGATTACATACCAGTCGAAATTGCGTCCAAGACCGCCTCAAAGTCTCCGAGACTGTAGGTAGCACTGTATCTTACATTAGTAGCCGAATCTATGTGCCAGTGGATGAGTACTTACACTCCCATGTATCCTCTCTCGCGGAAAACAAGCCCATTCATGGCCAAGTTGGCTCGCTTTTCCCACACAGCAATGTTGACCAGGGTGCCTCGGGCCTTGAGTGCGTTAAACGCAGTGTCGAGAGCGGCTTGAGCACCGGCGGCATCAAAGGCAACGTCTGCACCCAGACCACTAGTAAGTTCCTCCACTCTTTCTACCACATTCTCATTGATGGGGTCAATGGTGTGGTGTGCTCCGAACTGGGTTGCAAACTCTCTTCGCTTGCTGCTGACTTCAGTGACGATAATGTTCTTGCAGCCGCGTCCTACCAAGACCTGTACGACGGCCAGGCCGATGGGACCAGCACCGAGGATCAAGACACTGTCAGTCTCTTTGAAGGGGGAAATGTCGACGGCATGCCAGCCCACAGCGAGAGGCTCAACTAGAGCGCCCTCTTCGAGTGAAACGTTGTCGGGAAGCTGTTTAACACAAGAGTCGGGAACAACCATGGTCTCACACAAGCCACCGCCCCATCCACTGAGGCCAACAAAACCGTTTTGATCACAGCAGTTGACGAGTCCTCTGACGCACGAGCGACAGTCCCCGTCGTAGATGATGGGCTGAACACATACACGGTCTCCGGGCTTGACAGACTCCACGCCCTCACCAACCTCCTCGACAATGCCAGAAAATTCATGGCCAAGGGTAAGGGGGAAAGTCTCGTTGGTGATGGGGTGTGGGTTTTCGGGTTTGGGGATCAGGTTGGCGCCGCCAAGATACTCGTGCAAGTCTGATCCGCAGATGCCGCAGAACTTGGGAGCAATCTTGACCTTTCCAGGGCCGACTTTGGGAGCAGCAATGGTGTCAAGGCGAATGTCACGTTTGCCGTGGAAGCGGACAGCCTTCATGGTCTGCTGAGGAGGGGGTGCTGAGACAGCTGTGGCACGAATAGTGCCGACCAGAGTCACGTCGGCGGTGGCCGTCGTGGTTGCCATTGTGAATGCTTGATTTTGATGTATTCTGAGGAGCAGTCAGTCGAGCCTGGTTTGCAGAACAGCGTAGTATCGTATGGTAGAGAAGAGAAAGCACTCGGGTTGATGGACGCAGGGCAGAGCGTGGCTATTTAAAGGATGTCCATGTGTGGAGGGCGACGGTGCCTCCGCGGGAAGAGGCTGCTCGGTGAGACCTAGTCCGAAGCCAGAGGGGTCATTCGACCAAGTCGAGATGGAACGAGATGGGGATTCAGGTCTGATGGTGGGGACACTGCCAATGTTTGATGCATGGGTTTGCATTTTGGGATAATCCGTCGATATTGGAGCTTGATCTTGAGCCAGTAATCAGCCACATCGGCAGCGGTGCGTGAACGGGCTTGATCAGACTGGACTATTGCCATTAATGGCTGCATGTGGCTGTGGACAGCTGCGGACAGCTGTGAGAAGCCGAAGTGGTCAACTGTCAGCGATGATCAAGCAGGAACAGGTGGGCAAACACTGCAGGTGTCAACCCGTCGATGCTGCCGTGCCTTGGGGCAGGTGCAGCACGGCAGAGACGTGCGGTTTGCTGCAGGACCCGGTGAGCTCCTGTGCTCCTGCCCAGTAGACAACATTGAAGCTCCGCCGGTGGACGCGGCACCTGGGGCGTTGCAAGGGAGTTGCGTTACCCCGCAGATTCCGGGGAAGGCTCGAGTTACCTGTTTGGGTAATACGGGCAGGAGCTGCCCACGACGCGTAGGAAGTCAGGAAGGTGAGCCGACTCGTCCGCCAACCCACGCCGTCAGCTGCCACGCCTGGCCCGCGCCTCCCTCGACTCTGCCGCCCGCCCTCGCACCGCATGGCATCGTGCGCCCTCAAAACTTGAGGCGACATCTGGACCGCCTGGCCCATGGGGGCCGAGAACGTCCAAGTGGGAATGCCAGTGGCGCGACTCTTGTTATACCCGTCGTTCGCCCGTCGGTTTTCCTAGTTGGGGACAGTCTGTCGGACTCGTTTCGCCTGCAAACGAGGAGCTAACTCTGCATGTCGCATCAATTTCTCAACATCGGGAAATTCCATCGTGAGCTTAAGCTTGATCAATGCCTATTGCGCAAGCCTGTGCCCCTGGCGCCTCCCTCCTTTGCCTCCGGTCGCAGCGCACAGCTGCTCCGCCGCTCTGCATGCGGGACCACGTTCCAACTCCAACACGGTATTTCCGGACATAACCATCCATGCCAGGGCGTCAGCTGACCATCAGATTCTGAACAGATTCCCTTCTGCTGGGTCAATTGTTTCACCCGAGCAACGGCAAGCGTGTGCTGGGCCGGCGACTCGACTCCCTTGCCCCGTTGCCGACAACACCGAAGCTACAATCTGCAACACTCCAATTTTATATCGGTCACGAGGCTCATGCATCCTTTGCTAGCAGCTCCACGGTCCCTATTGACGAATTCATGCTCGGTCAGCCATGTGAGCAGTGTTATTCGTGTTTATAGACCCACAGGGGTCCTGGTCTAGCCTTGCGCTCGTCAAGATTAGCTTGCATCCAATGTTGCAGCCTCTGAAGGTTTCGTGGGTTTCTAGAACATGGGCCATGCAGAATCCACTCTCCGATTTCAAACTCTTTCTGCGACGAGGCGAGCTGGCACTATGTAGGGAGCACGGGGTCCATTCGGGGGTTTACTGCAGGCGCTCGGTCCGAAATCCCCGTACAGGATGCCAGGTCAATGACTGTTTGTTGCCTTTGCTGTGATGGCTGTCAAGGTGAAATGAAAAAAAATAAATTGAATTGGGCTGCCTAATTCTCCTAATATGACCAGGTAAGTATATCTTGACGCCCCGTATCATAACTGCTCCGAGCTTGTGAGCCGTCCTGACCTGGTACTACCACCAAGCTCAAGACGAAATGCACACACACGCCTCACACTCACTGGACCCCGTATTTTCCGGTATCCGAAACATGGACTTCAATGGTCCAGGCACACGCGGGTGCAACGCACCCTAACCGATCCAGTTGTGGCCCAGGAGCCGATCGCAAAACAAGCACAGAAGCCATGACCAACCAACTGCAAATCATCGAAAAGGTGTGGCGACACGAGCCAACCGGCCCAATCTTTTGCAGTCAGCAGACTGCTTTGTCATCTTTAGCAGTAGCATAAAATTGGGGTTTGGTGTTATAACATTCCGACCTGCCCAGCCCGCACTTTGCCTTCATGACACAAGTCAGCGCTGGAGTATTGAGATGTTGCGCAACAACATAAACTTTAGACACAAAAGACCGGCAATAGGCACTAGTTGTCGACTCAAAACATGGGTCACCTCCATGTGACAGATCAGCTCGGCAAAATCAGCATGGAATCAACTGCCACACTAAATTTCACTAGCGCCATCTTTCCAGACCCTTAGATTCTTCAACAGCATATCAAAACACAAGCTTTCTCTCACATTTTACCCTGATTGAATACCAACTCTGTTGCTCTTGACAGTCTTTTAAATGGCAATATAGAAAGGTTCGTCATCGCGAAGCCATTGGGAAAACATGACGAGTTGTCACACGGTAACACAAGGGCTACGGTCACGGGACGTAGGGCAAAGTCCCTTACTAAGGTATTATATTTAAAGACCCCTTTAGTCGACGAGGCCTTAAGGAAAACTCAGGACCTTTGATACCAAAAACTGCTATTAGATAAATTGAGTCATGTTGCTCCAAGTCTTTAGCCCTTGTCACACGAGTAGACATGTATCGCTTTCCATAAGCATGCCTACGCCGGGCAATCTGATGAATAAAGGTGATTGCAGATGGTTTGCAAGAGTAATAGTATAAAGGCTAAAATCCTTGAGCATAGGTCGGAGAGTTAATTTATTTAAAACGTCCTGCGAGCGCAAGAAGCGGTGGGCGAAGTTCAAGAAGGCAACAAGGGCAGAATAACTCAGCTTAGAATTTTAGTTCAAGTATTAATTTGACAATTACCTTTAAGTTATTAAAGGTCCTTGGTTTTTTAGTGGTCTTGACGGACTAGAGGTTCTTATAAATATATAAAGTTAAAAGGGGTCAATACCTGAGGCAGCCCTCGCTTAAGGTTTGTTTCTGGTCTCTCGTGATACCTTTCTTTGTTGTTGGGTAACCTTTATAGTCCGATACTTTTATACGAGCCTTAGCCGTGTGACAAGAAAGCAGGATAGCAGTTAAGCAAGTGCCAAAAGAATTAATAATTAATTACCTAGGCGTAATAAAAATATCTTGCTCTGTCTGAATGCAGGTATCAACTGAAATCCGAGAAAGCCTGCTTTTACTCGCTATCATCTTCAGTATTCAGTGGTGTTAAGAACCAGTGCTAGCACATGGGCCTGCCTAGGTATAAACAGAGACATTGCCCTGCTCGTACTTTGGCTGTTCCTAATGTTCTGGCAGGACAAATCAGATATCTCCGCGCTCTCAGAGTTGTGTATCTCTTTGAACTTGGAGGGGCTTGTGGGGGCCCCATTGCCCTATACATCGTGAGCTACAAAGCCAGTACTAAATAAAGAATATATTTTATATCAGATATAATATAGCTTTTTATGCCTAAGAATAGTACTAATATAAGTAATATTACTTAAGTTATATATAAATAAAAGTACTATTTTCCTGTTATATTCTGATTAGCTTTTGACCCCCGAAATGGGTACTCCACGAGCCACTCCAAGTTCAAAGAGATATAGTTTAGTGGCTGGGTAGAGGCTTCGAAGCCCCTGTTTTTACACGGGAAAAGCCCAACGACTTCGAATCCCAACAATGGGGCATTGGCGATAACAGTCCTCGAGGTTACACAGACTTAGCACATGACCCAGTGCAAACCCTGGGCACAGCTGTTCCCTTCATGTACATAGCGGTCACTCGTCCCTACCCTCCTTTAGAGAGCCAAGGACCTTTGACACCATTCGATATTATGTTTCCATTGGGTCATTGTGCCCCAAGCCCCATAAAGCCCTTGTTACACCTCATACCAACGGGGTCCAAAGACAACTGCGTGCTCCGGGTGCGAGAAGGGCTTGATACAAGGGCTTGGCGTGCTAATAACTCAATTCAAAGATAACGTCGAAGGGTGTCGAATGCCCTTGGTTTCTCAGGAATGAGAGGAGGGCAAGAGCGAGATTACATGAAAGGATTAGAAATGCCTGAGACTTTCTTGCTGGTTCGTGATCGGTTTTTGTGCGACGCTGGGCCCATTTCTGAGCCCAACTGTGTAACACCAGGTCGTACACGTCAACAACACGGCTATTCCGTATTTCTTTCCCGAATACGATGGGCACTGCTCATTTCTAGATTCGAAAATACTTCGGCGACTCTCAGTTTACCCCTGAAATTCATGAGTTCCGGGGTTGAGTCCGTGTTGAGCCCATTCACAACTTCTTGTCCAGCAGGAATGTGACAACAGCTGAGCAGAGGGTTGGAATAAAGAGCTCAACTCATCTCATAACATTCTTTGTTATCAAAGGTCCTCGGCTTTCTCGAGACCTTTCAAGACGATGAGGTCTTGTCTCATCAGCCGTAAGCTAGAAGTCTAAGGGCTCAACTAGGTCTTGAGCCCTTGTGTAACTATTGTCAGGTTTAAGGGACGGTCCGTTCCGCAATGTTACGTTACTGCTGTATGACAGGGGGCAGTGAATCCGCACCGTGGAAGGAAATAATTAAATACTTTATTTAAAACAACACATGTAGTCTGGTACTCCGTATTCGAATATTTTATGACTATCAAAGCTCGCTCAGCTAAAGTTTTTAACCGCCGAGCTCCTGAGTAGGTGTAACAGCGATAGCACATTCCGTCACTATTGGAGAGAACAGGTTACACGGCGTCTTAAGTGCATATGTGTCCTGCAAGAGTTGGCATTGGCACGTAGTTTACAGCCAAAAGGTTGCATGTTCCGCCGAAATTACTGGGGTGACACTTTTGTCTGACTTCTTATGCAATTATTAGTCAATTGTGCGACTTGAAGCCTTGCTGCCCAAGCACCGTAGGCAGTCTCCCCATCCCAACGTTCCC